ATGAGGAGGGACTAGAAAGGTATAGCCTGGGATGAGTGCCCACCTCCTAGTAGCCCAGGGGGTGACGCCTCCCCCTCTCCTCCAGTTGGAATGGAGCCTGGTGTCCAGACTCAGTCTTCAGGACACAGATTCTGGAGGGAGATAGAGTAACATCCATTTCAGCACAAAGCTTTTGCCGTGTATTCTCCTCTACGACTTGACATGCATTTGCAAGCTGTCTTCAAATACAAACTTTACACCCCTGTGGGCTATCCTCTGGACCCTTCTCCTCCAGCGTGTCCTCTCTCTGAAATCAGAACCGCCTCCCTCCAGCTTCAAGGACCACATCCAAATGAACACTTCCAATTCAGAATTCCCCAACGACACAGACACCCAGGATGATTTAGATGTGTCTATATGAGAGGGCATTCATGAACACTGTTGGTAATCTATTGAATGAGTAGGCCCTTCCACCTGCAGATGAGAGCATCCCTGGGTGGCCGAGAGACTATGGAGCCTACCTCAGGCTTTAGTGAGGAGTCTGGTGGCTGCCTAGGGCATCTGAAGATGTCACCATGGGGCAGGCGTAATGGGATGTGTGCAGCTCGGTTGAGGTGGGGAGGAATGCGAAGAAAAGAAGGCGGTGCCAATGGGGAATGAAGGCCCTAGAATGTAAGAGCTGGATGAAGCTTCAGAGCTCATCTACTCAAAGCCCCTCGTTTTACAGATGGGAAACTGAGGCACTGAGAGAGATCGTAACTCGTCCTTGGTCACGTGGCAAGATGGAGACAAAGCCAGGGCCAAAGCCATGCCTCCAAGAGCCTCAGCCCTGTGCTTTTTCCTCCTGTAGTATGCTGCCTTCTGAAATTAAATATAAAGCCCAGGAAGACATATCTTTCCTATTGAATCTGTCATTAAAATGCTGCATTTATAAAAAATAACATTTGAACCCTGAAAAATACTTCATTAGAACACAACAAGCTCCTTTGAAAATACTCCAGAGCAAAATTTCCCAGGTTTGGGGAGGATGGTGGAGGAATGTCTGTGGGAGGTAACATGTCAAACCCTTCTCAGAGTAAGTGCTGCCTAGAGTCCAGGTCACCAGCAGCTCCTTCAGATGACTTTGGGTCAAGTCCACGGTTACCTGTGGATGGAATCTGAGGATGGAAGGCTGGTGGCAGACAAAGTATCTCTGAAGAAAAATGCATCATTTGGCGGCAGGGTGGTTGGAATGGATCTTTCTCCATGCTTGGAGAGTCATGAAGCTCTCCCATCTTTTGAGACAAAGGGGGAATCTGTGACACACACAAGCAGGATGGGCGTAAGCAAGGTGGCACAGTGGCCGAGAGCCATCAAGGATATGAATCTTTGGCCAGAGCAGGAGCCTTTGGGCTCATGGCAGGCTGGGCAGGAGCTTCAGGGGACTTGCCAGCTGTAGGAACCAAAGCCAACCTTCCAACCGTGATGTCTCTGACAGGCCAGTTCTCTCCCTAACCTCCCAAAGATCAGAGGAGTAGCGCTCTTGGCTGCATGGCCTGGAGCATCATCTTGTAGGAACAGGAGAAGTCAAGGATAAACCAAGGAGGCAAGCAGAAGTCTTGAAGAACATCTTCTTTGCTTGTTTTCACTGAGGGCTCTAAGTTTTAGAACTAACTACAAATTAGGGATGGAGGATGGTACGTGGGGGAAGAGGGCAGAGCAAGGGAGATGAGAGGAAGAAAAGACTGGAGCGGCATAGAAGACCAAGGTTAAAATAGGAGTTTCTGGGTGTGAGAGTAGAAAGAGGGGAGGAGAAGTTTGAGTTAAGGGAATGTCTGGAACTTTCTAGAAGGCAGACCCATCACCCAAGATGCTGGGGAGCCCTGAGGGTGGAACGCCAGTTAGGGGGATAAAGGAATTCTTGGGAAAGCCTTTGTGACTTACGAACTTATGGAGCCAAGAGTTAACTGGAAGAAGCGAGAAGGGGAGGATTGTAGGGATTGGGAGAGCTTCACTGCCATCAAAAATCGAGGAGACCCGTGAGATCCTTCAGGGCAGGAGAGGACCTGTGTAGAGCCCTGTCCGTTCCCACCAGGGCAATGGAGACACCCACAAAGAACAAAACAAGTGGAGGGAAGTTCGGGGCTTTGGACTGCCCTTTCAGGGAAAGGAGAGCTTTCATTGCGGGGATGGGATGGCCTTCCTATGTGTTCTAGTGGCCACCAGCCTGATGGGGCTGGGAGTCATGATGTCTGGGTTCCTGCCCAGAGCCTTCTCTTCTCTGCTATGTGAACTCATCTGGTTATGTGGCTTTGCTTGTTCTCCCAACGTGGGTGGGATGACGGAATAAGATATTTCTGTATCCCAGTCGAAACATAATTTTATAGATTTTGAAATGAAGGACTGAATTAGAGCAAGTCTGTAGACTTCAATTTTTTCCTTTCTTCCTTCCTTCCTTCCTTCCTTCCTTCCTTCCTTCCTTCCTTCCTTCTTTCCTTCCCCAAGGATGAAGCAGAAGAATCATTTAACCGAAGTCAGCATTTTAGCCTTAGGTAGAATTTTCTGATCTGACTGACACCAGAGGTTTTAAACCGGACAACAATAAGGCTGAAATGAGAAATGCTTTGGAATCAACCTATCAGACAACCCCTGAGACAGACAGACAGACAGACAGGGCAGGAGAGAAGCATCATCCTTACGCCTGGAGAACTTGGTGCCGAGAAGATGCTTCCGACCGAGGTGAGATCAGGTTTCTGGTTCGGGGTGTAACCGGGGTGTGTGCAGACACCTGGGGAGGGGATTTTCACCCTTTCCCCTCTGTACCAGCAGGCAACCTTTGAGGGGAGGCTGGATTAGAGGGCAGTGGGTTTGGGGGGGAACCAGCTGTGAGAGACACACTTTTGTTTCTGGGAGTGGCCAACTGCTCTGTTTAGATTGGTTTCCTCCACCCCAACCCGCTTAGCCTTACCTTCTGGAACAAACTCTCATAAACCCTTGGGGACCAGCCCTTGAGAAGGTTTATGTGTTTGTAGGGGAGGAAAGCAGAGAGTGATCCCTGTCCTCACAGCTTCACAGTCCCAGTGATGCCATCCCAACGTGGAAGCTGAGAGCTGTGTTCATCACCCCCAGCCTTAACACCCTCGTGATGAGCCTTGAGGGGGAGACAAGACCTTTGGAATTCTTGAGATAAGTAAGAGGACTCAGTCGATTGAGTTTTCTATGGATTGTAGACTTGGTGAGATTAAAAATTCCCAGGGCTGACACTGGGGCATTCCCTCTGCCTGGTCCCCTTGTTAAAGGACCATACATGTTGTATGCAGAACTGGGAGAACCTAAATTCCCAGTTTAAGGTCATTGCTTTTGGAGTCGGAGTGTGGCAAGAGTCACATTTTCTTGTGTCATACCTTTACCCAACAGTCTGGGGCTGATTCCCCTAGCCCCAGCCCAAGGAAATGCCCTGGCCCTGAGAATGGGGGAACCTCTTTTCTACCCCCAGGCTCTGGTCTTGGGGAGGTGGATGCTGCTTAGTTCACTGTTCACTCTCCAGGGGGCTGTTACACCCTGCCCACTGCCCACATTGGAGGCAGAGAAGGGGCTGAGTAGGGCTGACAAGGGTGGTCCCCCAATAGAGCTGAAGGCTTGGATCTGCCTGGTGCCCGAGTGCCCCCCTGCAGGGGAGGGGTGGGGAGCTGCCCAGTTAACCCCCAGACCCATAGCCTGGAGTACCATTTTCTGTGTTTGCTAATGGGTCTCTGTTGCTTTGATCCAGAGGAGGCACTGGTCTAGGTAATGGAACTACAGGGGGAGGAGGCAGAGAGAGTGAGCACTGAACAGAGAAGGGGCCAAGCAGGTGGGCAGTGGTGGGGAGAGAGGGGTGGGCAAGGCGCAGGACCACCACCTGGGGTCCTCCTTGGCTGGGGGCTGAGCCACCCTCTCTAGAGGCCTCTGCCTCTGCCTGCCTGACCTGCACAGTGGGAGACAGGCAGAGCCTGGGGTGATGGGAATGGCAAGCCCCTGAGGCCCAGGGCATCACAGTGCCCCCCCCCCGCCCTCCACTCTCTGGCCATGGGCAGAGGCCTCTGGGGAGTAGAGCAAAGGAGGGGAAAGCAGGCCTGAGTGTCGGGTCATAGTTCAGACCTAGAGGCCTGGAGGAAGTGTGGAGATAGGTTGCTGGGGAAGGCACCCCCAAAGTCCCTGCACCCCATTGTGACTCTCCTCTGGGAGGACTGGAGCAAAGCCCCAGAGAGCTCAGGGGTCAAACAGCTACGGCTAGAGGAGGGGGTCCTGGGGGGCCTGCGGGGGGGGGCAGCCAGCTAGAACTGGGGGTTCCCAACATTGGGGAGGCAGCTGAAGAAAGGAGACCCCTCCCCATCTCCCAGGCCTTGGGGGGAGGGGCACAGGGCAGGGAGTGCCCCGAGGGGGTCAACGAAGGAAGGGCCACTCAGTGGGGACCAGAGCGTTCCAGCAGGCAGAAGAGAACGTTATTGTGCTTATGGACACAGCAGCTCCCTGGCTCTGAGAGAGCGAGCAGGCAGTTTGTAGGCACTAGAAGATTTCTGTGACGCGGCTGTAGGTAAATGAACGAGACCAAGTAGCCTATTGGGTCAGCCCGTTGACTGCACCTGCTGGCCAGTCCAAAGCCAGGCGGCTTCGAACCAAGGTCAGGCCAGGGTCTCTTGGCCGACAGAACCCAACGCTGAGCCCCCTGGAGGGGGGAGAGGGACATGGGGCTGAAAGGGAGTTAGTGGTGGTGGGGTTTGGGGGCAGGGGTGGGGTGGGACTGGGGCCTAGCACCTCTCCTCACTCCCCTCGATGCTTCTTGGAAGAGTGAGAGAGATCGCTCTAGATCCCAGGTCTGAGTGTGCTGAGCCAGGCCACCGGGCTGTGTCCGCCCCCCCCCGCCCCTCCCCCCGGGGGTATGGCTTTCTGGGCAGAGGAGGCCCACCCCCACGTCCTACAGGGGGGGCGAGGGAGGGGAGCCGCCCAGGGCCGGAGGCAGGCTCTGCGCCCCGCCCCGCCTGGCGGCCCCGCCCCGCCCCGCCCCGCCAGTCACACGGTCACTTCCGTCTTGCTGGCTGTGTAGCAGGTGTGGTGCCCGGGGATGTAGTGCAGCTGTTCCACCGTGTTGTGTCTGCGGGACGCGAAGGCCTGACGCTTGGCGGCCGTCTGGCTCTTGCCCAGAGTGGCATAGGAGTTACTGGAGGCACTGGGATGGGAGTGCATCTTGGTCATGCGGTACCGATCCAGCACGGGCGTGGACACAAAGACGTCCGTGTGCGAGATGGCCCGCGACAGGGACTGCTCAGGGAAGGCCGTCCGCTCCGGGGACAGCAGCGGGTCCTGGGAGTGCAGGCGCTCGGTGGACAGCAGCTGCTCGTCGGACAGGATGCGGTCGTAGGGCAAGCCGAAGTCGTCGGGCAGGCCCCGCTCCGGGGACAGAACCCTGTCCTGGGACATGGCCCGGATGGGCCGGCGGGGTCGCTCTCGAGGTAAGGGCTTCTGTTGGGACATCTGGATGACGTTGAGGGGGAGGGTGCCGCGGGCAGCCAGGTCCGGCAGGTGCCGCCTCCTCATGTAATACTCGTCAGCCTCTTTGTCAGCTGGGGGGAGAGGGGGAGGCAGAGAGAGGGAGAGAAGTCAGCTGGGGTGACACTGTGACCGGGCAGCCAGGACTGAACCAGGACCCCACAGCCCAGACAGGTGGAGGAGAGCTTCTCCACTGAATGTGCAAACCCGGTGGGGGGGCTTGTGAAAGGCAGATTCTGATTCAGACCTCCTGGCCCAGGGTGGACCTGGGAGTCTCTCTCACTGGCTCCTGGGCGATGCTGATGCCCCTGGTCCAGGACCACCCTGAGTATCCAGGGGTACACGAAGGTCCCCCCGGGAGCTCGGGGCAGAGTTGCTGGCACGGCCAAGGCCCTGAGATCCTGCTCCAGTGCTGTTTCGACCACGCTACGGTCCGGAAACAGGACGGCTCTGGCTGAAACACTCAAGGAAGCAGTTGGTGGCCTTCTGATGAGGTTCAGAGCCTCTCTCCAAGGAAGCGGGGTTGCCACAGGGAAGTAAGATGCTCCAACCAGGAGGCACTCGTGAACATGCTTAGCTGGTAACTTAGGAACATAGTAACACCTTCTCTGAGTAACAGCCAGCGTCTAGGAAGCCAACGCACGGGCCTCCAGCCCCACATGTGCACAGAATCAAGCCGACACCTACTTCGACTGTGCCCACAGCATGAGCAGGCCAGAACCATCCTCCATGTGCACCTCATTCAATGCTCCACTCTTCCCTCCATCCAGGAGGCCCTCCCACGCTCACAGGGACTGCTAAACCCTTGAACTTACGCAGGACACACATAAGCCTGCTTTGCCCCAAATTTCAGGAATGAGGCTTCCTAGGGTTTTCCAAATCTCTGCAGAATGTGGGAATGCTGACTGTTCCACTGTTTGCCCAGAGGGTCCCGGATGGGTAGATCCTTCCTCCCTCTTCCCCGCCATTCATCAGATTCCTCGGATCATTAGGGATCCCCACTTCTAGCCATAGAAATTCACCATTCTACCTTGGAGGTGGCTGATGTAGGTAGACCCACGGGATGAATTTCATCAGGGTAGGTCCCCGTAGCGTCAAGCAAAGGCTCAGCCCCGCAGTTGGGTGGTCATGAAAATAGCCCCATGGGGACATGGAGGCAGAAGGTCCAAGGGTCAGAAGCTAGGAAAGAAGAGCTCTCCTGCTGTGTACCTTCTTGGCATTGTAAAGGGTCTTAATGGGTCTTTAGCCCACCCATGTCTAGAGGCTGCTTAGACTCACATGGCCTCACTTTTTATTCTTGGAACTCCACACCTGTCCCCTCAGGTGTAGGGCAAGAGAGAAAAACACAGAAGGATGTCACAGAGGTTGCAGAGGCAGACCCCAAGCCCGAGAAAACCCACTTACTTAGCCTCTTCAAGGATGAGTACTTGCTAGGGTGGGTCTTCACTGCAGACTCATAGGATGGGGGCAGGTGGGCCAAGTTCTGGAAGGAGCGGGAGAAGGAGAGGTCATAGGGCTCGGTGGCCGATGTCAGGATGTTGTTCATCCGTGGCTTCTCTGCAAAAGAAGGGAGGGGTGCATGGCATTAGGGAGGACAGAGGGCAGGTAGGAGGGGAGGGTCCAGGTTCTGTCTCTCACTCCTCATCCTGCTTTCCTGGTCCCCTGTGCTAGGACATGGGTTGGTGGTGACTTAGTTTCCCTCATGCCCAGTTCCAGTTGTCTACAAGCCTGGGGACAGGTTCTGTTTTAGCTGTCACTGGCCATGCTGGTGGCTTGCCCTTACTTGAATGGCAAACTCCTTCTCCCCGTGTATGTCTGATGAAAACATAAGCCTGATAGAGCTGGGGGGGGGTCATAAAATTGTCTAGTTTGGTGTGAAAGTTCTGTCCTTTCCCTCATAGCTCTCAGGCTCAGAAAAATCCGAATTTGAAAGAGGTGGAGTGACTGGTCTTGTCCACATATCCATGGAACTGGGTCCAGGACCCCAACTCCACCAAGACTCTATCCCACACGGTCCATGATGTCATTCCATCCCTCACATCACCCCTTCTGCCTTGGGCCTCCCCAAGCCCTGCACCCAACAGGCCACTGTGAGCTACAAAGTTATTTCCTCCTCCTATAGTACCTCCCCTAAGGCCCCCTTGGCTATCTCTGAGCCATTGGAGGAAAGAATGTAGGCAAAATGCTTAGCACATCATTCCCCTTTCCTCCCTCCTTCCCTTGAGACAGAGCCTTGAGATTTCAAACTCTGAAGAGAGAGAAGGAAGTGTGTTCAATGCTAGGCCGGAGAGGGCGTGGGGAACCGGAGGAGGAATGGAAGAGAAGACGAGCAGGCGATGAGGTGGATGACTAATGAGGTGAATGAGCTGAGCTGGGCTCTGTGGTTGGGGGGAGAGAGAAGATGCAGGTATGGGTGAGGGAGTGGTTGTGAAGGAAGGAAGCAAGCATGCCTTGGTGCTTGACGGACTTGCTGTGCCTCAGCAAGAAGTCAACAGTGGTACCATTCCCCAAAATGAGGTAGACAGGTGGCTCTCTCATTGTCCCTCTATCCTCTATGGTTTGGGACCCCCAAGAAGGGCCAGGCTTTGGCTTCCCCCTGCCTCTTGGCAAAGAGAGTGCCGAACTATGGAAGTCAGGAATTCTGTGAAGTGGGGGGCAAAGAGGAGCACCTGCTAGGCTTGGTCCAAGGGCAGCCTCACTCCAGGGAACTCCCAGCTTCTCTATTCTTCCTGGCTTCACTGGTCCCCCCAAACACTGGGGATGGAGCCAGGGGAGCCCAGCCAATGAGCTGGTGTTCTTGCCAGCTCAGTACATATGTGAGGGGGTGAGGGATGCTCTACATCCCCGAGAGATCAGAACGTGCTGTGCAGAAAGAGCTTCCCTGGTATGGATCGGGATGGATGCCAGGAAGTGGAGTGGGCAGGAAGCTGGGAGCACTGCTATCCGGAGCTGGGTAACAGCCACTGGTCCCCTAGCTCTCCTTTCTTCACTTTTGGTGATGCTGGAGAAGAATAAACTTCCCTCTGTCTCTTGGCATCATACTCCCACTGAGGGCATAGCTCAGCTCACCCACTTCCAAATGCAACATTTCTGGATGCTCTTCCCATCAGCCCCGCTGTTCTCCAACTCATGCTGCTGAGCTAAGGCCAGCTCTTCTTTGTCTTCTGTCTCCGCCATGATTACCCCTGCCCCCTTGCTTATGCTCTCTTTCCTATTGCAATGCCCTTCCTTACTCATCCTCTGTCCAAATTCTCTCTTTGCTCAAGACTCCTCGCTATGGTGATGTCACATCTTTTCAGCCCACAGTGATATCTGGTCTTCAAGCCCCTATTGCTTTTCCAGGCAATCCCACCCAGTTCAGTTGTCTATGTGATCTCTGATCAGTTGACTTGAGCTGGTCTTGTTGATCACCAAAGATGGCAATGTCCTTGACAGCAGAAATCTTGCTTTCCAATTTGATGCCTTCATAGTGTTTGGCCCCAGATCAGGATCCAACTAATGCTCTTTGGTTAATCAAGTTGACACAGGCCATCTTCCCCTTTGATAGCCAGTCTGCCAGCTCCTGGGGGAAAGTGTAGCCTCCAAGGAAGAAATGCAGAGAAAACCCTGCTCCCACCAGGCTGTGAGCTGCTCAAGGGCAAGGACCAGATCTACCTACCCTTGCCCCCTTGTACCGGGTGGAAAAAGAAAAGACCGGGAGAGGAGCAGGGAGGAATGGCTCCTCCTTCTGTCCTCAGGAGGCTGTGCCTGAAGGAGCCAAACCAGTTCCTACTTATCCTTCCAGAATGTTCAGGAGTGAGTGGAGCACTCCTCGCTTGCCTTTTCTGGCTCCTCTTCCTACAGCTGTGTCATCACCCTGGGCATCCCCCAGGCTCTCTGCTTCTGCCTCTGCTTTTCTCGTTCAGCCTTCTCTGCACAGGCTGCCCCCACTCCCAGGCCGTCTGTTCCTGCTTCCAAAGCATAACTGACATCTTCAGCTGTAACCTGCCTCCAGACTGCATCTCGGCATTTCTAGCTGCCTGCTGAATCATTTTTCTTGACTATCCTATGGTTCTCTCCAGCTTCAGATGTCCAGATCCAAATTCGCCATCAACAGCTTCATCTCCCCTACACACAGGCTGCTTTCTTGCCTCTCCAGATTGTATTACTAAAAACCCCCACTCTTCTAATTGAGCATAGCTCACCATTTTACTCACAGTTGACTCTTGTCAGCCAAATTCGGTGAGTAAGTTTTCTCGATTCCTTCTCCATCGTGTTTCATATCTGAACCCTTCTGTCTTTTCCCACTGTCCACATCACCCCTGGGACCTGCTCTTAACTGATCTCTCTAATGTCTTCCAGTTCTGGTTTTTTCCTAGACCCCGCAACCTGAAACAGCTTATTAAACTCTTGCTTTCATCATGCATTTCCACCAGGAGCCTAGCCCTAGAGGGGGACATCAAAACAGTCCGGTTCTAGCCTCCTAATTATAATGCTCAACACCTCAGGGCTGACGCAGAGCATAATCTCACAGGAGGGTGGTAGGTCTCTCTGCCAAGCGAGCTGCAGATTTTATCTTTGTTTTGAGTTTCTCTCTCACTAAAATTTAATGATGTTTTCACTCCTTCAGAGCAAAGACAGAGGAATGACTGATAGTTCATAATTTACATGTCTGTCTTGTGTCCTACCAAGTTTTGAGCGGGTGCCCAAAATAGTTTTTCTCTGCCGTTCCAGATGTTATGTTGCGACCTGGCAGGAGGAAGT